GTTTTATTTACTATTATTGCGGCCAAGCCGCCTAGGGGTAAATGTATCTGTTTAACTATCTAGCATAGTTAAACCTAATCAACAGCATAACGTGTGACTTTCAGCCAGCGTACTGAGAGGCCTTGTTAACTCTCCAACTTACGTACTGAGAGTTTGCTAACTCTGCGGTTACTTCGTACTCCTGTGTGTTCCACACTATGTAACCCCGTTACACAGTGACCCTTTTTACTCTTAATCGAAATTAATAAAAAGTACAAATCGATCAAGCTAGATTGGCTAGTACGGCAACCAAATCGATCGCTTGGGATCGGGAGAATCTAAGTTGCCAAGCGCCCTTGTAAAAATAAACTCAAAAAGTACTGTACGTTTGTGCAAGAAAAAGCCATATGCGTGCATAGACGTCTGCTGGATTACGTGCTTGTGTGTGGCTGTATGACGCACGTTAACTCGCGCGAGCTAGTGTAAATATGTCAAACCAAATTTCTCGGCATCGTAGAAGCCATCCATTTATATAACTCCTGTAGCTACAAACAAACTGATGTACACCATCGAAGCTCTACCTCGATGCGAACATGCATCTGCGAAGAAGGCCGAGGAAGCAATACATTTGTGGACCTGGGAACATGGATTTAACGTTCAAGAAAGCGCGTCGAAAGTAATGCATCTGGAAATAATTTTTCCAGGCGGTTTGAGTGCGATCGTAGCGGAAGAACCAAAAATACACGACACCTGACAGAAGAGACGCGACAGCGATCAATACGGGGCTCTAAGAAAACGGGATGTCCTATGCGAATAAAGGTTGTGGCACTTTCAGCCTCAAACCCGTCAGATCCTTGGAAAATAATCTACACCAGAGATGCCAGCCAAGAACGCAATCCTCCTCTGTCAATGGATGTTCGTATTCACGTAGCCCATCGTCAGCGGGCTGCTTAAAGGTTGATTCTTGCTCATATTTAAACTAGTGAGATCATAGCAATGCAGACAAAAGCAGGCGTCTCAACATCTAATATTTCTTGCCTCAATGATGCTTTCTCAAGAGTCGTATTTGGCAATTCTTAAGGACATATCGAACGCTAAAAGTGCAATTCGGCGCCAGCCGTTTACATGTAAGATTTGTATTGAAGCTTTTTTCGGACTACTGGATCAGCATCGATTTCAATACCCTAGCAAGACCGACCCGGCCACACGGCAACTGCAATATTTAATGTGGGCTCATCCCGACACGCTCGATCAAGCACGGCATTATATAGATGTTCTCGTAATCGACTATAATTACAAAACCATCAAGCTTTAAATGCCTCTACGGAACGCTTTTTTCGTCATCGGAATGAGCACCGTGCTCCTATTAGCCCAAATGTGGCTGTCTGGAGAAGCAGAACCTGAATTTACGTGAGCACTATCAAACATCAAGGCTCTTACGATATAAAACATTATCGCCCTTCCTCGCACTATTTTAGGTGGCCAGGTCTTGCTTGCACAAATGCTACAGAGGTAGTGTTTCCCTCATCTTCTAAAACTCATTGTCGGTGGCACATAAACCGAAAAGTTCTTGCTCACGCACGATAGAACCATAAAAAAGCAACAAAGGACATCTGTGTCGGGAGCTCGGAATGGTTCAACACGCTTCAGACCGATGTCTGCATGGCGAAATTTCACGAAACGGTCGGATCAGAATCAGAACCCGAGTTTAATGATCGCTGCACGGAATTGCGAGGACTGCGTGTGCTGCTAGAAGCGTCAGTAGTGACGTAGGTTATGATGAGTGCGCCGCCTGGCTGGACCGGGGCATCATGGGGCGATTTGGGGCATCTCAGGGATTTGTGGCAAACGTTTAATAAAACGCTCTACCCACATCTTCTGCGAGCTAGAATTTGGTACGCCTTTATAAACTCGTCGATGTGTCTGCAATAAAACAGTATTTCGGTAAAAAAGCCTTTGCCACTTTCACGCAAGCAAACGAAATACTTGATGATTCGACCTTCGTACGTTTTCATCCTATGTTCTGCGCCACCCCCTTTCCTTGGACTACGCTTCGATACCACACCCTTATCCAGACGGTCCCACTAATTCTTTCTCCACTCCCTCAGTGTCGACGCTTTGACCACTAACTCGCGAACGGCATCCAGCACACCCCACTCGGGGTGCGACTTCCTGCGCCGTAGTAGCTCGATTCTCTTCCTTTCTGTTCTTTGTACACAGGTGCGCTTTCCCATTTGGGCCATGCCCCCCCCCCGCAAACCAAAACTGACAGAGTTTCTCACCACTTGATTTACGTATCTGATATTCTCAGATTCCGCAGTATACTGCATCTACTGTGATTCACAATAATCCGGTGGTTATTGTGAAAACAAAGTCGAGTCACAAATTGTGACTCACATTAACTTGAGTCGGTTTAATATAAATCTCATGAGGTTTCACATTTACTCAGCTCGACTTAATGTGAAACGAAGGTAGACTCACAATAATCGGCGACGGCGTTTTACAATAATCTGGCTCGTGAAACGGAGGTAGCGTCACAATTACGCGCACCGGATTATTGTGAATCTAAAGAAAACTCACATTAAGTCGCACAGGTTTCAAAGGAATCCAGACGTGTTTCACGTTAGTTCGCGCTCCAAATATATGCGGCCCGAGCTGTGGATCCCATGTTGACCCACTATATATTGTACTTGAATCCCCGATCTGGATCACGTTCACTAGCTGCATACTATCAAGGGTCACGCTATCTTTTCATAATACCCACTTCTAACGAAACTAAGACATGTTAAAGCATCACCGTCAATCGACAAATTTTTGTTGCCTTTACAGATAAGTATTCTTTTCGAATCTAGTGCCGTTTTAACGTGTCGAGTGGTTAGCGTTAGGGGAATGGTTATATGGCCTAAAAGTCACAGTGCAGACGACCACGGAAAAATACGCCAGCGCAGACCAGTATCCTCCGTAGTGAACTAGATGCTACGAAAAAATACGCCATAGTTTTGATAGGATATAATGACTACGGGAGATTTGCAAATTTCAAAGAAGGAACATATTCTAACACAGCAATACTACAATGATTGCAAAAACGGTACAAAACCCAGAAACATCATCTTAAAACTATACATACTTAAATATACTTGTACTTTGTGTTGTGGACAAAAGTAGCACTACGCAGCAAATAGTACAAACGTGCGGCTGTAACACCGTCCAATTGCGCCCTAAGATAATAAAATCGTTTTGTGATTTGGAGGCTTCACCAGTCTATGATAGGCCCTATCGTATCTGCACCTACACCGCTCGGATAGCCTCCTCTGCAACATAAAATTAATTGCGGTTGTAGGATAACTTGTGTGTCACTATAATACCATTATATAGTGTTTGTCGGACCTAGAAGTGCATATTAATCTCTTCCACATTAAAATATATCTTGGAAAAATTTGTTGCTGCTCGCATAAAGTATATATGCCTAATTTGAAAAACCTTTTTTACACCTGATTGAACAAATTGCTGATTGTTTTTAGTGTCGGAGCAGATCGAGGGATTTGTCGCATGGCGTGTTTTTAGGTTCCGTGGTCGTCTGCATTTGCCATATACTATCATAATTATCTACAGAGAGGTGCAGAGAAGACGTGTTCATAATTAAAGAAGTTTGCTACTGCACATGGCCTCCCTAGGTGTAGATGATGCATTGCACTTCGGTGATCAAACACGTAGCGAATACGACGCTTTTTGATGTAATCGGACTATCGATCATAAAACTTAAAGCTGGTGGCGCGGGTCAGCAAGGTGTCTTAAATCGTGTCGCTTGCGAGACAATAAGAAACAAGACCACAAGATATGTATCCCCATCTCGTTCGTTGCACATATCGGTGCCAAGAATTAAATATGACTTGAAAGCGTAATGGCAGCCCTCGTGCAGTTAATACAAATAGTTCCGCCATCCCCGAAAATGCAGGAAGACAACTACGTCTACATTATTGTGATAATAAATAACAAACCAGAGCACATAAAATCATCAATTAGTCAAGAAGATAATGAATCTCAAGTGCCGGTTTCGCCATCGGTGGACACCTCTGTCTACTGGGATTCTAAACATGAGCTTGCGCAAGGTAGATGACAGGACCCGGGGCTCCACTGGCGGGGGCCTGTTCATAGAATCACTAGTAGCGAGCTTAGGCCAACAAATAGCTTAACATTCGTCACCATTGAGGGTAAGCGTCTAGGTAACAGCAGTATCCCATTTTGACAAAATAGCGACGGGAGTATGACTGCGCTGCGAGCTTCACGGCTCATCTCGTTTCCGGCGTTTCTATTCGATAACCCATGTAGTGCTCCCACTTCATTGAGCAGTTGTACATTGCGGACACTGTCTTCGATCTAGACTCTCATCCACCTCCTAAGTCGCCTTGCTAGTAATCAGGCGTGTGAACGCGAGCTCGACCGCCGTGTGTTGCGCACTAGTTTCTCCTGTTTCATGACCTATGTTCACGATACGTACTATGTCTGGATCACCAGTACAATAAAAGGCCAGTCGTCTGAAGTGAACCAATTCCCCTGTGGACTTGACCACTGTGGAGAGTGGAGCTTCACAGGCATCCGTCGGTTTGAATTGCGCCAGCAGTCACATCCTCAGTGATAATTGCTATTGTGCGTAGCAGCCGAGTGGTATCAAACATTATCCGCGTTACATATCGTTTAACGCTGGTACTAAAAGTCTCGCAAAGATTATTCGTCGCCACATAACCTGTTGGCGTATGGAATGTCTGCTACCTCCAGTATATCCCACTAAAACATTGTCTTAGGAATAATCGGCGAAGCTGCTAAAAACAACAGTGCTTCTCCAACGATTCAACACTTCATCGCAAGCTTCGTAATATTACAGGAGCCAATCTGTGTAACGCATAGCCATAATTGCTTTCTGGACTGCCGGTCGTTCAATTGCCGTGTTCGCTTCCGTACATTGTACAGAACGTGAAAAAAAAACATTAGAAAGGTGGCTTGCTGAAACAACGCAGTGGATGTCAGGCCATGGTACTGTGCATCTTTTGCACCACCCAAATCAGCATCAATCCTAGACAACACTTGGAACAGCTTCTGACACACTCTCAATATTGCGGATAGAACACCAGCGTACTCAGATTGGGTCAGGCGGCTTTCGACGAACAAAGCTGCTAAGTGGTATTTTTGAGACCTGTCGCTGAAACCACATATAATGACAGGATATCCAATCTCACTTAGTTTAAACGTAGTATCTATATGAAAGAGACTGAAGATTATTTTGCTGCAAAAACTTCACTTTCTCGAGCAGACCAACGGTTGTCACCACACCGATAAAAGAACTGTTGTCCTCTCCTTGAACAGCAGGCGCAAATCCATCGTCGCCAAATGTTGGACCGAGCATGAAGGCCTTATCTTCATTCATCCTGGCGCTCATTGGAAAGTCGCGAAACATCGCCTTTATAGAGTTCATTGTGTTGCGCTCCCCATTCTTAGCACGTAAATACTTAACACATCGAATTGCCTGACTATATAAGGGCTGGACATTTAAGGCGGCGCAGACGGAGCCCTGACCAAAAATGCCGAGGCGCTAACCCGGTCTCATCCATCTCTTTGATGTTCTTCTTCATTGCAGAGGTAGCAACAGCACGATACTGGCCTTGGCAATCGACATCTTCACGTGCGCGCTCAATCGCCGTGACCATTATAGTCCACACGTTGGGTTTTGAGCACTGCCACACGTTCCACACCTTGGTGCATTTTGCTTTTTGTTGTTGCCTGTAGCAGAGGCCACGGAAACGCAAGTCGAGTTGGAAATGTATCTCTATCATTTCGTGATCTATTGGGCAGAGCTGGTTTCGCTTAGTACACAGCAGTGCAACCCAGTTGATACAGGCGGGCTTTGGTGTAGGACTCAGCAGTCGTTCTTTCGTAAAGTACTTGCCAGACGTAGGCCAGCACGTTTTGAGTCCTGCATTGTCGGGGCTCAAGGCTAGGAAATCGACGAATACTGTCCGTTAGTTACAGCCGTAAGAACTTTGGTAACCTGTTTTAGGGCAAAATGTTCTTTCCTAGGCAATTGTTTATTTTGGGTCACTTTTTTGTTTGGTTTTGGACCGTACCCATGTTCTATTTTGATTTTGTCCCAATGTGTTTGTTCGTGATCGAAACGGGTTTGGTTTTTCCCTGCAATTCGTTTGCTATTCACTCCGTCCCTTTGCTCATTAGCATACGTACACCTAGAAAGTACAGATTCAGACTTGCCCAAAACCGTGCACTTTGGGCGTGCGTATGCGTATAATCAAAGCCCTCCTGCACGTTTTTTTATGGTTTGTGTCCAAAAAGATTAACGCACGCCTTGCCACCAATTCCATGCAAGCAGGTTCTCTTCGGCTGGTCTGTCGGGATTTTTTTAAACTATCTTCTGGGTCGACCAATACGACTCTATTTTACGGCAAGGTACCGTTGAAGAGCTATGAAGTTGAGGTTTTCCGCCAATCACGGATCGCGGAGAATTACTCGGCTACAGCTGAGAAATTTGCAATATCGACTAGGAGGGATGTCAAAACAAGAATGGTGGGAAAAAGACTCTTGAATCCAATATACGTCTTGACTTATCATAATTAAGGTAACCTCTAAAGCGGCTATCTTATAGGTGCGTGCAGTCCGTACGACCGACCGATCTTTGAAGGCTAATATCTACACTCTCACTGATCTAATTGAAGCATCAGTCCGTTATTTGAGCCCCTAAAAAATTCAATTCACCCACCTTCGGATTTCTCCGGATTTTATAGCAATCAAACTGTAATTGGAGCAGGTAAGGTAAATCCGAGCCAATTTGGATGACAAACGATGCCAGCTGACTACCCTTATGCCTAGTATCAGAATGAAAGTTGTGAGCGAGGTCCTTCTTGCACGGAATTGGTGTTAAAAGAACCGAACGAAAACCGTGGTTCTGGTAATTACTCAGAGCCCGTAAGAAGCAGGAACAAAGCTCTATTAATATTTATATTCGACCTTTTACACGCGAAAGGACACAGAACCGCGGCTTTTCAGTTAGAACCAGCCCTGTAACGTCAACAGGTCTTGTTTTGGATTAAATATTGGCTGTCACTAATAGTAACGTTAGTTACGAGCCAAAATTAAAGCGGCTCTAAATGGGAGAGGCATAGTACGCCCTAAGTAAGGTTGATATGCTACTTAGATTCACTGAATCAAGCTGACCGCTATATCATTAAATTAGAGTGGCACAACAACTGCATAGGCGGCCATTACACCTAGAAATCGACTACAGGTAGCCTACCAGGACACTAACCAAAACGAAAAAAATGACAAGCTGGTACAACGCTTCAGTATATTTGCTAGGTATAGCTACGTAGCCAGCAACTTATACAGCTATACAATGTAGCACCAGGTTATGCTGATGAATAAGTTGGCATGCTACAATCACACTATTAAAATATATTGCAACATACTTGAAATATTTTGTACAGTACCTAGTACAGTACCACTTGCAGTTCGATAACTTACGATTGACATCGATCTTACATGTATTATGAAATTGTTGTTTTATTAATGAATAATACAGCCCTTAAATGAAAATACATGTAATGTCGTTAGATTTCCGACTATACTTGTTTTCACTGCTGCTATTAGCGGTTCTCACTGTTTAAATATTTTGCATGTTTCGTATACCGTAGCGTCGTAGTCATAAGCGTCGTTTACTTCTAAGGGTCAGACTACCAAAAACCAATCAGAAAGCGTTATTTCTGTCAGGTGGTTTTGTTACTTACATTTGGGGTGACAGTTAATTTTAGAGTCAGTTAGGATAAAACAACGCTTGATAGTTAGAAAAGCACCAGCCAACAGAGCCATGGGCCGCCCTCGTATAAATGGGCAAGGCAAGAAGCGAAAGTCGTATCAACGCACAGCGGTGGAGTATTCACACAAGAGGGATGTTCTAAATTACAATGAAGAAGGTCACAGTCTTGACGAAACGATTGCAAACTTCTACGGTGAGCTGACCGATGGTGCAGTACGAGCTAAAAAGAAGCAGATCAACAAGTGGACCAAACAGTCCGCTGTTATCCGTGCTGCGTGTGAGTCGGGCCGCGGCAGGCACCAAAATTAACGTAGTCTTGATGATGCAACTGTGCTCTCCAAGGCGGCCGAAGCGTCGATCGTCCTTTGGCTCAACTCCCTACGAAAGGATGGCGCACCTGTGTCGCGACTCATGTTGCAGCTAGAGGCAAAAGAGACTGCTCATGACATTGGGCTTGGGGAAAAATTTGCTGCCTCACCGACGTGGATAAAGCTTTTCCTAAAACGGCACAAACTGTCACTTCGTGCACGTACGAGGCAGGGGCAAACGACACCAGAGGACGCTCTAGAAGCGGCTAGATCGTTCCGGACATTAGTGCTGCAGACAATAACCGACAGGCAGTGTGTACAAGTAATCAACGCAGATCAAACGGGTACGGTACATTTTTTTTTTAAATGTTACTAATATTTTGTTTTGCTGAGGAACATGCATTGTAGCCGTGAATTATGAGTACTTGCCAAAACAAACTATAGACCAGCGTGGTGCTAAGACTGTATGTGTGAGGTGTGGTAATAAGGAGAAGGCCCGAGCTACTGTCATGCTCTTAGCAGACTGGGAAGGTAATAAGTTGGATACTTTGCTAGTATTTAATGCCTACCTTCAAAAATAGCGACCAAACGCGTCGATAATGACGCTCTGCGCCATGGATTTAGTCCAAAAATGTGGAATCGCGAAATTAGTCCATTACAAAAACGACTTAGCTACCAAATTTACGAAAACAAATGCGCGTGGTGGAATTCACAGTTGTCTGTCAGATTTCTACAATTTCATTTTGCTGAGCGAGCGAATCTGGATGAAAACATTATACTAATCTGGGATGGCTTTAGCGGGCACTATACCGATGAAGTCGATGAATAAGCGGCATCGATTAACGTTGTCCTTCTCAAAGTCCCACCGAGATACGCTTACGTCTGCCAACCGGCAGACATATCATGGAATAAGCCTTTTCAAGCTAGGCCACGCACATTGTGGGTTTGCCTTTTACGAAACCAGCTTGTAGAGTATCGTGCGGCAGAAGAACGACGCCAACACAAGCGAGAAGAGCTTCATTCGTTGATTGCACGAGCTCGCAAAGATTTGACCCAAGAACGGGCCGATGACGAAGTCAAACGACTTCAAGATTTGCACACAGAAGACCCGTTCAAATTAAAGCCACAAAATCGAGCGGACATCACTAAGTGGGTTTCGACGTGTTGGGCAGATCTGTCAAAGGAGACAATTGTAAACGGGTTTGATAAGATTGGCATCATTAGCGACACGCGCACAGTAGCGGATCTGACGGATATTGAGATTGCATGCATTGACAGTGGTATTGTCGAAGAGCTGGAGAATTGCAACCTTGCCGACGGCCATACGCTGACATCGAATCTGACGATTATCTAAACAGCGATGTCGAATAGATACATTCCACGTATTTCCTTCCCAACGTTTCGTAAAACCATGATTTGCTCACATCTGTCTGTGCATTCGATGTGAAAATCTTGCCATTGAAGTGACGCCTAGGACTACGACGATACGGTAATTCCTGTAATTTTTACCTGCAAGCAAATTTTTATCAGAGCTGATCACAAAACATCATACTTAATCAAAGCTGCTCACAAACGCTTTCATTGGCTATAATCAGGAGAGCTCAGCCTACAGTAAATACACTAGTCAGGCATTCTCACTGAAGATGTATTACGTCAGTGCAAGCAGCGCATCCAAGGCAGACAGGCGTTCCTGTGAAGCACCGAGGGACGCGCCAATATCTTCACAAAGTATCTTACCGACCAGACATGTTTACATTCCTGACGTCTGTCGGGGCAGACCCACGGAGCAGCATTAAACATCAGAGCTCACGCGAGCTCCATATGCATGGGTTGCCCCACGTATCAGTAAAAACATCGAGGGTGTACGAGGTAGCGCGTGGCATCGATAGGGTTTACGTGTCATTTTCCGGATTCGCGGGTACACCCCTGGCCACAATTATACGGCCACCTCGTCGAGCTCCCATTTCTAGGTCCATTTTTATACTTTGACGGTGCGGTTTTCACGTAAGATGCAACACACCCTTTGAAATAGCACGGATGTGCAAACGCACGCGTTTTTGCCCTTTACAGGGAGGTTTGCATACAAAAAAGGAATTTGTCAAGGTGGTCACAATTTATCCGTCCAATACAAAAAAACAGTGTCCAGGGGTGTAATAGGAGCCAGCCAAGGTTTTAATGAGCTAGGGTACATTCCGTGCCAGCGGAGGCTGATATAAGTGGCTAGTCGCTACGACGACTTGCCGTCGGACATACGAAGAGAAATACCGAGAACGACATTGATGGTGATCGTTTGTGTACAGCCTCTGCATTTGACCACAATCGTGACTCCTCCGTCATCTTCCATCACGTGGAGCTCGCATTTTCAATGACACATCAGGTTGGGGCTAGCAAGCACATAAGCAAATAGTAAGTGCTTGTCATGTCAGGGCGTAAATATGTTTTTTAAACGTTTGACATTACACACTGCCCACTCACAGGCAAATCTCATTTCGAGTAGATCTTTAAATGAGCACGTTCCTACCAAATACTTACCGGGTCCAATTTCACTTTCAAGTTCTACGGTAATGCTCATTTTGTTTGGACAACGTTCTTTACTACTACAACCAGTGCATTTGATGGTTTCTTTTAGGCGCGCCGGAAGTGCAAATACGGTTGTTGATTCGTTCGAGACTGAGGTTCTGTGCCACAATGCTGTCCGCACAAGCAACATTTTCCACCAACTTGTCTGACGACGTCTGATAGATCGACCAGGTATATCGCCCCGGAATAACGATTCCTATTGTCGCGCGACACCGCCAGTTTAGCTGCGGAACTGCTTGTACGACGGGGGTGGCAGGATGTCGGCTTCAGGTTTCAGATCGCAAGCGGGGGGCAAATCGATGACTACGTTTTCGACCGCTGATATATATAAACTCCTCCATTACCAACGTCGTAGCTTACGACTTTGTGAAGGGCGAAAGTCGTAAGTTACGACGTAGAATGAGGATTAAACAGCA